ATATATATATATATATATATATAATTTGAGGACAATTCTAATGTTACAAGTTAATTTTAGAGAAATCAGTTTTATAGAATTGATTTAAGTTCAAATTCAGATTCTAAAAAAAGATTAATTAAATTATTTAACGTAATAAAAAATATTTGTAAAATTAAATTGTATTAGATAAATTAATGTTTAACTATCAATATCATAACACCTAAGCATGATTCTTGTAAAAATATTAAAAAAAAAACTTAAACTTGACTATCTTATCACATTTTAATTAATAGTTTTAATCTTATAATTGCCTTTTTGTAAACAAAAAGAAAAACAAAAGCAAGAACATAAAAACAAATTAACTACTCTCTCTCGAAGGTCTTGTCCAAAGAGTCATCTAACAAAAGTTCTCCAAGAGACACAAGTTGCTCATAAATCATAACAACACTCGCATCTCTCTAGGTCCCCATCCAAGCTAGGGCATCTACACACTTATTATCCCATTCCGTGATAGAGATATATTAGAAGAAGAAATACCATATGCATGATCAGGTGACCATTTTCTCAAGGAACCAAACAACCTAAGAGTTTGTCTCAGAAAATCCTAGTCAAGTCAACCCTGTCATAAATTTTCTCAAGATCCAACTTGACTATCAAATCCCCATTCTTACTTTTAGACTTACCCATATGATAAACCACTTCTTGAAGCACTATTGCGTTATCATTGGTACTTCTCCCTGGAATGAAACTACTCTAAGGCTATCCAAAAACGTGTAACCTAATGTCCCTTAATTCTCAAAACTAACGAAATTTTAAACAAGTATACTAAAATATCAGTTGTTAAATCCTAAGTCTTTAAATTCAATTGATTACTGCCATCTTGATCCTTAAACACTTAATAATAGTTGTTTACTGTGAAATTCGTTTAAGGATTCTTTATATTTGAACTAGCACAAAGAGTGTTTCAATTTAGGTATTTAGCGCGTTTATAACCTTACGGAGAACAAAAGATGGAGTAGAAAGATTTAATAGTTACTAGTTTCCAAATGTTCATCAATGATTACCAAGAAGTAACATTCATGCACATAAATACTTAGATGAACAGAATGAACAATAAATATATTCCCAATGCAGATTATAGTTCATAATATTCAATCATTACAACATTCTCAGAGTTTGAGTAATTTTAAAACTGTGATTAAAAGAAGAAAGAAGGCTAAACTAATCCTAATACTAAAATAAAAAAAAAGAAAAGAAATGTGGTCAAGAAATTAGTACCCAGCAAACGCGCGCACGGAAGCCATATACGCAGGCAGAGAGTGCTTACAATATGCAAGTGTGAAATTTCTGACCCCATAAATCACTATGCCTTGCATATTTATAAAGTTAATCGAGGGCGGTTAATTATGTACGTGCGTTATTGGAAGGTAACCGTCATCCACTAAGCTGTCATTACGTGGTCTAGAATACAACTTCTCGTAACCGTTCTTCCCACGTGTTTTTTATCTCTTCGACCCATTTTTCCTTAACCGCTCTGGTATAACTACTCATCCATTTGGGAAACCTCCAGTAACCTCCTTTATTTATTTTTTCGAGCACTCCTTTGTTCGATTCGATCATTTCTATTCGACCACATCTCAAGTGCGAACAAATTAGGCTCTTAATCCGATCCTGGTAGGTGTTGACTTTTATCTTTCGTTTCGAGTAGCTTTCACAAATACCCTTTTCGAGTTACATGGTTTTCGAGTGACCTTAACAAATGCCCCCCTAGGAATTCAGTCTTGATGAGCACACTGCGATGAGAGAGATTTGAATTCCTATCGAGTATTATTTTCAATTCTTCATCGGTCTTCTTAACTAATGAATAACTTATCTTCCTTCGATGAAAACCTAATCTGGCCTCCTATTTAATGCAAATGACCGTTTTGGTGATATGACATTGATGGCTCTAGCGGCGCATGCTTGCGTTTTTTCGTAAATGTTACCTATCCAAGACGTTTTGGCGGCCGTTTTTATCATTTTGATTTGAAATTTAAATTAATTTATTTTCCCGTTTCATCTCAATCCCAGTAAAACTCTTTTTACCCGAATTTTAAAATTACTTTCACCACTTTCTTCCTTTGCTCCTACTTTTTCTTGTCTTCTCTTGCTCAGTTTTCTTGGTTCTCTTCTCCGGCACTATTGAACCTCCACAGTTTTCATTCACGAGCTCTCTACCTCCGGTTGTCATGGCCTCCTCTACTGCATCAACCTCTGCCGCCGTAGCATAAGCAATTTATCCTACTACTGCCGCTGCATCATCTCCTATCCTGGCCACTGCAACGTCTCCTATCATGGCCACTGCAACTACCATGGCTACTGCAACCTCTACTCAGACTGCTCCTTTACTGATGGCCAATGCCCAAGTTTGCAATGTCAAAGACGGAGACGATACTTTCGTTCCTATTCCAGGCATGGAAGAGGCAAGTCTGAAAATTTTTCAATCCCAGGTACTTCTTCCCTTCTCTTTAGAGAATGGTTCTGTTCATTCTTTCTTAGGCCCTTTCATTGGTCAAAATAAGAAAAAATTTGGGAATTCTTTGCTACCTGAAGACCCCTCCACACTTCCTTTCATTCATTCTACGAAAATAGACTTAGCCCTTTTCAGAGACACCACTAAAATTTTTAGGGCATTCCCTCCTATTAAAGATAGACATTCATCCTGGTTAGCGCGTGTGGAAAGTTCGATGCATTCCCTATGGAAAGAGATTGGTATCTCTGAATTTATCCAACTAGCTAAGTTTGATTTACATTTATTCGATCCTCAAATGCTTCTTTCCGCTATATTCTTTTGGAATAGAGAAACTTGAGCCTTCGAATTCCCTTGTGGCTTTGTTTGCCCTACCCTTCTCGACATTGCTGCCATCACGGGTTTGGCACCTATTGGGGATAGGTTTTATCCCGATGTTTTCGAGGAGGAGGTTTCGATTAAGGAGACCTCGATATCTTGGGATAAGAAGACGTACTTAGCCTTCATCAATGCTCACATGGGAACATCGGGTACTCCTGTTTCGACCTCAGAGCACATTGCCTTTCTGATGTATTGGTTGTCCACTTGCGTTTTCTGTACTCCTTCACTCCAAGTTCCCAAATACTATTACATGTTGGCTCAAGCTCTTCATTCGAAAAAGAAAATTTGCTTAAGTAACTTCTGTTGGCCTCCCTATATACTTGTCTCGATGAAGCTTCGGAAAGCCTTTTCCGCGAGACTGGACCTCAGAACCTCTCTGGACCACTCTGGTTACTTCAATTGTGGCTCAATGCGATTCTCGAAAAGAAGTTTTCTCTAACTTCAACCTTTATTCCAGCATGTGAACTCGAGGGAGCCCATTTGACAACTCTCACTCCTCGGAAACGTTCGATTAATAACTTTGCAACATACATTGACGTTATTCTCAGCTTCACTGAATTTAATGAAGATTTAGCCCCTTTCATTCGAACTACTTTGATGGGTCCACCTTGGC